GTTTTTTTCTGTTAATTTTCGTTGGCTCCTATACAAAGGATCGTTTTTTAAAGGGTCGCCCTGTTAAAGGATCGTCACGGGCAAAAAGTATTAAAGGGCCGTTCATTAAAGGATCGTCCATCAAAGGATCGTCAAGCGTAAAAACGTTCAAAGGGTCGTCATTTTTTTAAAAATTTCATAAAGCCAGTTCAGTGCCATCAGTTTGGTTGCAGTGATGTGCCAGTCTGATAATGGTGATTAAGAGGGATATCGGGGGATTTGAAAGGATTAAAGTGATTATTAATTTTTGCATCACAGGCAAAATTTCGAGATGGATATCCGCGGATTTGGAGTATCATATCCGTGCTCATCCGTATCCATCAAATAACATTATCCATATCCGTCCGTATCCGGATATATCCGTTGATATCCGGATATTATCCATATCCATGAGCTGGTCTGCATTCAGCTGATAAAAAATTAGTTGAAAAATATGAAGAAAATGGACCCTAAGCAAAAAAAAAACGAAAAAAATCTCTAAAAAATATGGGACTCAAACGTCTTCTTTTGGGTGGGGACTCAAAAACGATCCTTTGAATTTTTTACCCGTGGCGATCCTTTGATGGACTATCCTTTGATGAGCGACCGTTTAATACTTTTTGCCCGTGACGATCCTTTAAACGTTTTTAGACGTTACGATCCTTTGAACGTTTTTAGCCGTGGCGATCCTTTTATGTGACGATCCTTTGTAGGGACACGTTTTCGTTCGTGTAGTCTCTCCTTTGGAATTTGAAAGAATTTTACGAGTAGGAATTTTTCTATTAAAATTGAAAAAGTATAAAACAACAAAATTTTATTCATCTTTAAATAATGATTGTAATGAAATAAGTGTGGAAATAGTATGCGGATCAAAACGATTTCGTTTATAATCTTATACTAAAGGAGAAAAACGAGAAAATATGCCTTCACAAGAAGTAGAAGAAGAAGGAACTGCCGTGCCCGCACAAAATACCGAATTCTCAAAATCGCGAATAGGCTAAAAAAGCTCAAAATCGCGAATCGGTAAAAATATCTCAAAATATGGAATCGGCCAAAAAAGCTCAAAATATGGAATCTTAAAATATCGAATCTCAAAATCGCGAATCGGCCAAAAAAGCTCAAAATACCGAATCGGCTAAAAAGTAGTTAAAAATGTCGAATTTTTTAAAAACGAAAAGGGCCGTTTGAGTGCCGCTGCAGGTCTTTTTCTGATTATTCAGGGATCTGTAACTCAGTCCAATCAGGTCGGATTTCATTGATTTTGGTATCATTCGATGCAGCTCGACGTGCTCTTTCAGATGAGCTATCATTCGGAAACTCGAAATTCGGTTCGGGATTCGAAATTCGGTTCGGGTCCGGGATTCGACTTTTTCAAAATCCGAGCTGAGATTCGTAATCAGCACATTTTTTTACCTTAGAAAAATACTTTCTCTTATTTTTAAAATTTTTTTACGAAGAAGTTGGTCACAACTTTGTTCAGACTCAACTGGCCTTTGCCGCATTGTCGATATTTTTCGATATTTTGAGCTTTTTTTGCCTATTCCATATTTTGAGATTCGATATTTTGAGATTCCATATTTTGAGCTTTTTTAGCCGATTCGCGATTTTGAGATTCCATATTTTAAGAATTCGGTATTTTGTATGGGAGCCAGGAACTGCTAAAAAATGCTTAGAAATGGTGAAAGGTGTGTGTTTACAACCTTTTTAATTCATAATTTATTTATTTCGAATATTTTAATTACTTGTAAAGGAGAACATTTACTAGCTAATGTTGTAGATGAAACGACATCAGAAAAGAATATTGTTGCTGCACTAAATTGTTCTGGTTCAACAAATTCCCCCAATTTTAATTTATCGGCAATTTGTTTTGGAAGCATTCTATATAAAAGAATATCACTTTTTTTCTTCAACTAATTCTCTAGTTCTTTCTTCAACTTCCAAAAACATAATCCATTAAAACATAATCCTTCCAAAAACATAATCCACTAAAACATAATCCTTCCAAAAACATAATCCACTAAAACATAATCCTTCCAAAAACATAATCCATTAAATTTTGACTCCCGTCCCTAACCATTTGTTTTAACATTGTTCTGACTTGATCTATTCTTGGACGTTCTGTTGGAATTTTCACTCCAACAGTCTCGAATTTTTGAGGAGTTCCTTTTCACGATCAAGCTCAATTCTCTTTTCTTCGAAGTCTTTTTGATTCTAACATTTGGTGTCACGATTTGGTGTCATTTCTCAACTTTTTTATAATTTTTGGTGTTGTAGTATAATTTAGTTCGACAAATTGCGAATTTTTACTTTGTTGGACATTTTGAGAGGTTCGCAAAAATACCTCAACACAGGTGGAGAGACTACACGAACGAAAATTAACAGAAAAAAAGAAGAGAAATATAATGACAGAGCAGAGAAAAAAAGATACAAAAACGTTGATTCGCAGTTGTTTGGCGCAAAACGTTGATATTAACGTTGTTCTGGCGTTATGTATTTAAAAAAAAGTTGTTCGCGAATAATTGTTGATATTATTAAATCAACTTTTTTTTCTTAAGAAAACGTTGATATGTCGTTCCCTAGACACGCCCAAGTAGGCGCGCGGCCAAGTAGGCGCAAAGCCATAACTACCTGAAAAATTTATGGACCTTAACAATTTTGGTACCATTCTCTTTAGCTCGATGAGAGAAATCGTTTAATACCAAATTTGGTAAGATTCGGAAATTTTGAAGCAAGTTATGACTTTGCGCCTACTTGGCCGTGCGCCTACTTGGGCCGTACCCCAAAAATAGCCCTAACTTGGACGAGCGAAACTGAAAAGTCCCCCGGTCCGAAATTTTTTCAGACTCAACTGGTATGAACTAAATCATAATGCCAAAATATTATTTTATTTAAAATGATTTCGGCAGACCGGATCTGGGCCCTATTTCAATTGTCCACAGATTCTGCGGTCTGCGTTCTGTGCACAGACCACAGAACCACAGAAATTCTGTTTCAATTATTCCACAGATTCTGCGGAAAAAGAAGTCCGCAGATTCTGTGGAAACATGCACAGAATCTGTGGAAACATCCACAGATTCTGCAAAACATCCAAAAACATGCAAAAACCACAGAATTCTATTTCAATTATTTTTCTGTGCACAGAAAAAAATCCACAGATCTGTGGCTTTTTTAGTCGATTCTGTGCATTTCTGTTTCAATTATTTCTGTGGTCTGCGGAAAATACACAGAATTCTTTAAAAAATCCACCCTAAAATTTTTTCTGCGAACTTTCTGTGGAAAAACTTTAACAATTTTTTTCTAGGCCTAGGCTTAACCAAATTTCAAAATTTTTAAAGATTATTAAAGTTTGAATCATTCTCTATTTTTTGATATAAAAATTATAATTTTATTACCTAAAATTATTGCTTAAAATTAATTTTGAAAAAGGTACATCTTTTTTACGCAGTTTTTGTTATATTCAAGCAATAAAAAAATAAAAAACGTGAGAGATTCTGAAATTTAGAGCTATGATGTTCTAATCATCATGGATATCTCTAATGAGGGGATGTTTACCAGGATCTATAGAATATATCTGTATAGCGTATACTGGGATATCTCCCATGATCTCTCATTGATATCCGTCATAATCTCTCCTCCTATTTAATGATAGATTTCCTCCTTAATCACTCCAATATATTAAACCTCAAAATCAATGGATATCCCACTTAATCACTCCTCTACGATTTTAAAGTTCCGATTTGACTATAATTTTGGATTCCAGGCATTTTCGATTTCCAGGAACCTCAATTTCTGACTAAACAATCCCCAAACATTTCCCTCCCTTGCAACAACTTCTATCGTAGTTTGAAAAAGCCACATGTCGGATCGACATCTCCTGATTTTTCCGATCCGAACCCTGCTTTAGGACATTAATTTAATTGGAGATTTAAGGATATTGGATGAACAAGAAAATTAAGCGGTATATCAGCGGTTTTAAAGTGATATCAAAGAGATTTAAAGGGATGTTATGTGATTTGGAGGGAAAATTTTTAAATCTTTACAATATTTTTCAGTTTAATTTAAGAATTTTTAAAGTTTTACTTCAAAAAATCAGGTACCATTAATACTGCGGTAGTACCGAACTGTCCAAACCATTTTTCGTTTCAATAAAACTGTTATTTTCAAAAACGCGGAAATAAAAAATTTGAATTTAGAAGAAAAAATACACAGAACCACAGAAAAATAATTGAAATACAAATTCTGTGGATCAGTGGAAAAAATCCACAGATTTTTATATTTTCCACAGAAATTTTCATCCACAGAATCTGCGGAATGTTTCCACAGAATCATTGGATGTTTCCGCAGAATCTGCGGGCACCACAGATTCTGTGCACACAGAATTTAATTGAAACAGAATTTCCACAGAATCTGTGTTCTGTGCACAGAATGCAGAATCTGTGGACAATTGAAATAGGCCCCTGGCCGGGTAGGGGACGATTCAGTATCGCCGATTCAGTATTGGCCGATTCAGTATTTGGGCTTTTTGGCCATAACTTTTTGCTCGATCAATATTGTAGGAATTATTATATATGATTTGATAGGCCTCGGGGTGCTGCATCTTTTTGATAATTGGACTGACCTGATTTGATTACTCTACAAAAAGTTATCATTGATAAACGACATCACAGGCATAAAAAATCGGTTTTCACGCTATAACTTTTTTTGCGATCATCAGATCTGATCGGGCCAATTATGAAAAAGATGTCGAATCATGAGACCTTTCGAATGATATGAGAATTATTTGAATCGGTCGAATATCAGGAAAGTTATGGCCATATACTGAATCGGCGGATACTGAATCGGCGATACTGAATCGGCTATACTGAATCGTCCTTAACCGGATCTGGCCGGATTTTTCCGGACTAAAGATTAAATATCTTGTGAATGTTTATTTGATTTTTTACTAATTTTTGTTCATTCGAATTTCCAGTTCTATCATAAGCATGAGCTCTACAAATTTTATTAATCTAGTTGATGATTCTCTTGAGCTTGACGATCCGCATCCTGACATCCATCAACTTTACATACTTTTTGATCATCAATTTTTTTATGGAAAGCTTAACGAGCGAGCTTGTACTGTCGCTTGGAGCAAGAGGATGACGAGGTTTAATTTAGAAATATATTTGAAATTATGATTTGAGAAACGGGAATGCACCCTTAAATTTTTTACATAACCTGAATTTACGTTCACCAAACTTTTTATAAATGAATTTCTACATCATTTTATTATTTTTCTAGTTGTGCAGGAGTTTGTCAATTTTATAGAAAGACTGGCCTTTGCTGTGTTCGTTTAAGCGAGCCTTTACTTAAACTACGTAGACGCAGAGATTTGGTTGAAACCTTACTTGTAAGTTATCTCTTCACTTTTTTTAAAATATTTTTTTATTTTAGCATGAAATGATTCACGCTTATTTATTTGTTACTGGTGGTGCAATGTTTATGGACAGAGATGGTTTTGTTTATTTTTAAGTACTAATCAAATAATTGCAGGACACGGTCCCGAATTTCAATCACATATGAACCGAATTAATTCACTTGCTGGTACTTCTATAACGATTTTTCATTCATTTCATGCCGAGGTATAATATTCATATTTTGAAAATTGTATTTTAAATTTTTGGCACTGTCATAGTGAAGAAAATCATATTTTTAATTTTTCCTCTAATAAAGTCAAAAGCCCATTATTAATACTTTCAAATTTGTCTTTATTTTCTTAATATTCGATATTAGGTAACTCACTATAAGCAACACTGGTGGAGATGTTCTGGCCCCTGTAAGGAACGCGCTCCTTATTATGGATGGGTTAAAAGAGCAGTTAATCGAAAACCTGGTCCTTATGATTATTGGTGGAAACAACATCAAATGGACTGTGGAGGTTATTTTTTGACTAAATTTAAAAAATTATTTTTAAAGGTGATTATGTCAAAGTAAAGGAACCTGAAAAATCTCAGGAGAAGACAGGGGAAGGTACTTCTGGAAGGAAAAGGAAATTAAAACCTATGTTACAAGAAGTGAGCGGACAAAATCAACCTAGAATTGATCGAATCTTTTCCGTGGACGGTAAGGACTTTTATTATTTTAATCTCTTGATATCTTATATGACTTCTTGCCTTCTTAACCTGTCTCTTTTCTGTCTAAATTTCTTCTCATAATATTTTTCGAATAACGGATAACTCTCCCTTATTTCCTAATTTTTATTTTTTGAGCGTGAGAGGTTTTTTATCTCATCAATTTTATTAAATACAAAATTTATTTTTCAAAGCTTTAGAAAAAGCCAGCACTGATTTAACTAATCTTCCTTCATCCTCTTCCAGCAACAATACTAATAATATTAATTGTTTTATTTTTGATGATGAAAATGATGAGGATATTTGCATAGTTGGGGAAGTTGTGAAAAGTCCAAAAATGAAAACTTTAAAATCTATTGGTGATGTTGGGCGGGTCTTTCCAGGAAAAGGTATTTATTTAAATTTTTACTTAAATATTTTATTGAAGTAATAAAATTACTACAAATTATTATTCCAGGCTTTGTGTTGGGCTCAAAATGATTCACAATTAAATCGTTTAGCTGTATAAATGAAGATTTCCTGTAGCTCGTATACAATTTAACATTTTATTTTCACGATTTTTATTGCTCAATCATTCCATATCTTTATTTTTCTTTTTAATTTTTTTTGTCGTGAATAGAAAACTTTATTTTGATTTTCAAATTTTCTAGTATAAAGTTCTATGTCTATTTTGCAGTATAAAATAAATTTTTAAAATTAAATTTCATTAGTTTGTTTAATTTTCAAAAAAATTTTTTTTTATTTTTACCTCAAAAATTCTTTTATTTTTTCTAAAGGTAACATTTAAAGTCAATGAATAACACTTCTGGAATTATTTTTTTATCAGACGACAGTGGCGGCGAAAATGAAATTGCTTTAACAGACAAACAACAACTTCATATTGAGGAGGTTTTAATTTTTAAATTAATTTTATTGGGATGAATAGGGGTTTGTTGTCCGGTTAATAAATTTTAATAGGGATGTGTTCACCTCATCTGTATCAAAAAATTGGAATATTTATCGTTTATGTTAGGTCGTTAGTTATAGGATTCTAGTTGCATGGGTTTATTATTGGGAGGGGGGGCTATAATATTTTTCTTTAAATAAACTTTATTTTTCTAAACTAGATTCCTTCAACTTTCAACACTAAACAAAATTCTGACATTCTCAACTTTTCAATAAATCAAAAAACACCAACTACTCCACAACATTTAAATAACAACAATTCTATTAACAATATTTCTCCTCCCCCACCTTTATATTTTGGAGCAGAAGATGATTTTCTTTATTCGAATGATTTATCTCCAATAAATAATTTACAACCTTCTACTAGTTCACAAAATAGTAACAATTCCTCAAAACGAAGTTTAATTAATAAAGAGGACAAAAATGAATTTTTGAGTGAAAATTATGAAGTAAATAATGGAAAAAATGTTGGAGAAGAAGAAGATGCTCAACCAGCAGTAAAAAAACGAAAGAAGAGAACAAAAGAGGAAATTGAAGCAGAAAAGGTTAAATTTAAAAAAAAATTTTTAGATTTTTTGTTAAATTTATTTTTAAAGCTTCAAAAAGAAGTTATTCGTGTTCAACGTGAAATGCAATCTGCAAAAAATACAAAATGTGAACAATATTTGTTTTGTTATTTTTCTAATAGAATATTGACAATTAATGGTAATTTAAATAAAAAAAATTTTTTTAATAAATTTAAAAAAAAAAGATAATTTACGTGAGGAATTAAATACAAGATTTAATGAAAGAGGAATTCCAAATCAATTAATTTATGAAAATAGTACGGGGAATTTAATGAGAATTACTTGGAGGCGTAAGCGAATAGAAGCTTGTATTGATCAAGGAAAATTAAATAAATCAGAGAATATGGTGAGGATTTTTAATGAAAATTTTTTTCATTAAAGTTAAAAAAGGGGACACGCCCAAATAGGCGCTCGGCCATAACGGCACAAAGCCATAACTTGCTTAAATATTTTTGGCCCTTGTCATTTTTTGGTACCAATCTCTTTAGCTCGATGTGAGGAATCGTTTAATACTGAATTTATGAAATTCGTAAATCTTCAAGCAAGTTATGGCTTTGCGCCGTTATGGCCGCGCGCCTACCTGGGCTGTACCCTTAAAAAAAAACTTTAATATACAAGAGCTGTCTGATAGGTATATCAGACAGGACAGAGAAAAATGCTGGGTAGATTTTCGGATAGGGGTTTCGAAGATTTCTCTGATCGGCTTTCAGATATCCTGCTGCCTAACTTACCAAAAATTATTTTTATTTCCCTTTTAGGAATTACAATCGTGGTTTTGTTGTGTATTAAGTGCTGAAACTTTCACTTTATTAGCTAAAACAAAAGAAGGGGTTATTAATTTTATAAAAGAACAGACGGTAGCACATAAAAAGCAAACTAAAGAAGATGTTCGTCTTAAATTAATTGTGCTGGGGAAACATTCAATTCGAGAAAATATTGTGGGTTTTTATTATTAAAAGAATTTTTGTTTGGGGGGGGGGGGGTTAAAGAATAACTTGCCTCTTCTTCCAGCTTTCTTCTTTAATATTCGAGGCTTATGAACGTTATCGTGCTCAAATTCGTATGGTTCCCGATGTTTTGGATTTTTCCTTTTTGGTTGTTCAAATGCATAGAGCTTTGGCTAAGGCAGAAAAGAAAAGTGATAAACTGGCTATGGTGAATTTTGTTTTTTTTTAAATTAATTTTAGATTTCGAAGATAATTAAAAATAATTAAAGTTTTTTAAATTTAAAAAGAAAAAAATTTTTTATATAAATTTTTTTAATAAACGGTCTATAAAAATTTAAATTCTAGGGATGGATTTACATAATATTAAAATTCCAGGCTGAATTAGTCGGAATTGCTTCAAATCATTTTGCCGTTTCTAAAGGAATATTGGAAGGTCCATGTATGGTGACCGATTGGTGGACTCGAATGTTGGAACATGTGCCTAGATTAAGTGAAGAACAACGTCGAGCAATTATAAAAGAACATCCAAATCCAATAAAGTAAAAAAAACAATCTCAATTTAAAAAATAATTTTTATTTTAAAGATTAATGTCTAATTTGATGGATTTAACAAATTCTCCGGGCAATTCAATGTTTAAACTGTCAGAAATTAAAGGAGAAAGTGGTAGAAGATTGGGCCCAGTTATGGCACAAAGAATTTATAAAATTTTGACAAGCATGGAGGGAGAGGAAATTATTGATTTGGGTACTAATTGAGAGATTTTCTTTTATTTATGACGCAAATTTTATTTTGCTTTGACACATTTTACTAATAAAAATTTAAATTTTGGGAAATCATTTTTGTTTAAACAACTTTAAAAATTCAAATAATTAATTTCAAGCAGCAAATGGAAATTTTGTCTACGTCAAGTTTATTCCTCGAATTAAAAAAAAAGTTGCCACATGACAAGACAAAGTGATAAGAAAAAAATTTTTAATAAAAATTTTTTACTTTTTATAATCAGTTAAAGCGTCTGACATATTAGCTACATACTATAATTGGTACATCAACGGTAGTAAAGATTCCTCGAGCAAGAGGTCGAATGGGGTATTTTTCTTATGTAACTCCATTAAAGCAAAAATCTATTGTAATTTTAAGAATTTTTTAAAAGAAGATAATGAAAAGGAAAAAATAATTTTTAGAAATTCTGTCAGACAATCTATAAAATTTTTTAAAATTATTTACAATTATTGTCAGTTAAATTAATCTTATTTCAATTAATGACGATCTCAAACAATTTTAAAATTTAATTAAAAAAATTTCTTCAACTCCAGTAAATAAAAAATGGGTACAGCCCAAGTAGGCGCGGGCCAAGTAGGCGCGACCGAGTAGGCGCGACCGAGTAGGCGCAGGCCAAGTAGGCGCAAGGCCAAGTAGGCGCAAGGCCCAAGTAGGCGCAAGGGTAAATTTCCTAATTTTTGCTCAAAATTTTTTTGTTAATCTTCAACTAATTTTGTTAATTAGTTGGATGAATAATCAAGCAACTTTATGTAGACACTGGACTTTTTGCAAAACTGCCCTTCTTAGGGAAAAAATTTATTAACTGAAGCTCGTTGATGTTTTTATTTTTTGATAAAATTAAAAAAAATCTTTTAATATTTTTCTCATAAAAGCTCCATATTTAGCTGCTGATAAGTTTTGGATTATTTGCTAAGTTTGTTAATTAGTGAAAGCCTTGCTGCTTTGATAATTCATGTGGCTTACCAATGTTATGAATACTAACTAGTTCAACTAGTTTAAGGAGGACTAACTAGTTTAAGGGAATGTTATGAATAATTAACCTGTACTAACTAGTTAGCCTTTAGGAACTAACTAGTTTAAGGGAACATGAAGTTTATAAAAAGGTATAATTAACAATCAAGATAAGACTAAAAACTTCCTTAAGGCATTTCACAAAAAAGACCAGCTGCAGTTAGGAGTCTTTGGATGATTAGAAGCTTTTAATGGATTAAAAAATAAATATTCACTTTTGAACTGCCTAGTTAATGCGTACAGTACGAACGTATACTACAGGATATCGATATTTAAGGTGTCTTTCTTCTAAAATAGGTACCTTTCTTCTAATTTTTATCAAGAATCTATTTTCTAACTCATTAACAGAAAAATATTTATACTGACTTATTTTTTAATTTGAATATTTTGAGCTAAAAGATTTGCGCCTACTTGGGCCGTGCGCCTACTTGGCCTTGCGCCTACTTGGCCTGCGCCTACTCGGTCGCGCCTACTCGGTCGCGCCTACTTGGCCCGCGCCTACTCGGGCGTGTCCCATAAAAAATCTATAGTTATAAAATTAATTTAAAATATTTAAACAGCAAGGCTTTAAAAATAGCTTTAATATTTTAAAGAGAAATTTAATTTATAAAAAGTCATTTCTAAATAGAATTTAATTAGAAAAAAATTAGTTTTTTGGCTAATTTTCTATCAGAAAATTTAAAATATTGCCAACAAAGCAAAATTAAATTTTAAAATTACTATTAAATAAAATTTATTTTTTATTTCTTTCAATTTTAATTATTTTCTGTTACTTTTATTTAAGTTGGACCTCAATTTTAAATTAAAAAATTTAAAACAAAATGTTTATTAATT